TCTTTCTGCTCATCCACACTACCAAGAATCTTACCATTAGCCCAGTATTCTGTATTCCTGTTACTCCTTCCAAAGTGAATCACCTCACACTTTTCCGCATTAAACTCCATTTGCCACCTCTCAGCCCAGCTCTGCAGCTTATCTATGTCCCTGTGTAACCTACAACATCCTTCTGCACTATCCACAACTCCACCGACTTTGGTGTCATCCGCAAATTTACTAACCCAGTAAATGTGCATGTGTATGTGTGTGTATGTGTATGTATGTGTATGTATATGTGTGTGTATGTGTATGTATATATGTGTGTATGTGTGTGTTGTGTGTGTATGTGTATGTGTGTGTTGTGTTGTGTATGTATGTATGTGTGTTTGTAGATGTGTGTGTGTATGTGTGTGTGTAGATGTGTGTGTCAATGTGTGTGTATGTGTTTGTGTATGTGTATGTGTGTGTGTCTATATATGTGTGTATGTGTGTGTGAATGTATGCGTGTGTATGTGTGTGTGTCTGTGTGTATGTATATGTGTGTGTCTGTGTGTGTGTATGTGTGTGTACGTGTATGTATGTGTGTGTGTCTGTGTGTTTGTAAATGTGTGTGTGTACGTATATGTGTGTCTGTGTGTTTGTATATGTGTGTGTATGTATGTGTATGTGTATGTATGTATATATGTGTGTGTATGTATGTGTCTGTGTGTGTATATGTGTTTGTGTATGTGTATGTATATGTGTGCGTGTGTATGTGTGTGTGTATTTGTGTGTGTGTCTGTGTGTATGTGTGTGTATATGTGTATGTATGTGTGTATGTATATGTTTGTGTGTGCATGTATATGTACGTGTGTATGTATGTGTGTGTGTATGTATATGTGTGTATGCATGTATATGTGTGTGTGTACATACATGTGTGTGTATGTGTCTGTGTATGTGTGTGTGTCTGTGTATGTATGTGTTTGTGTGTATGTATGTGTGTGCGCGTATGTATATGTATGTGTGTGTGTGTATGTGTATGTATATGTGTGTGTATGTGTATGTATATATGTGTGTATGTGTGTGTTGTGTGTGTATGTATATGTGTGTGTATGTGTGTGTTTGTATATGTGTGTGTGTTTGTATGTGTGTGTATGTATATGTGTGTGTGTCTGTGTTTGTAAATGTGTGTGTGTGTTTGTATGTGTGTGTGTGAATGTGTGTCTGAGTGTATATGTGTGTTTGTATATATGTGTGTCTGTGTGTGTTTGTATATGTATATGTGTGTGTATATGTATGTGTATGTGTGTGTACGTATGTGTAGGTGTGTATGTATATGTGTGTATGTATGTGTGTGTATGTATGTATGCGTGTGTGTGTGTGTATGTATATGTGTGTGAGTGCATGTGTTTGTATATGTGTGTGTGTCTGTGTGTTTGTATATGTGTGTCTGTGTTTGTGTGTGTGTATGTATATGTGTGTGTGTGTAAGTGTATGTGTGTGTGTCTGTGTGTTTGTGTATGTGTGTGTATGTATATGTGTGTCTATGTGTTTGTATATGTGTGTGTGTATGTATGTGTATGTATGTATATATGTGTGTGTCTGTGTGTGTATGTGTGTGTATATGTGTATGTACGTGTGTGTGTGTCTGTGTATGTACATGGGTGTGTGTCTGTGTATGTATCTGTGTGTATGTATATGTGTGTTTATATATATGTGTGTCTGTGTGTGTTTGTATATGTGTGTGCATGTTTGTATATGTGTGTATGTATGTGTGTGTCTGTGTGTATGTATGTGTGTGTGTATGTACGTGTGAATGTGTGTATGTGTATGTATGTATATGTGTGTCTGTGTTTGCATATATGTGTATATGTATGTGTGTGTGTATGTATATCTGTGGGTGTGCTTGTATATGTGTATGTATGTATGTGTGTGTGTCTGTGTGTATGTATATGTGCTTGTGTGTGTATGTGCGTGTGTATGTGTGTGTGTGGGAATGTGTATATGTGTGTGTGTATATGTGTCTGTGTGTGTGTGTGTGTGTACGTATATGTGTTTGCGTATGTGTATGTATATGTGTGAATGTGTATGTGTGTGCGTGTGTTTATGTGTGTGTGTTTGTATGTGTATGTGTGTGTGTACATGTGTGTGTATATGTATATGTGTGTGTACGTGTGTGTATGTATATGTGTGTGTGTGTATGTATGTTTGTGTGTATGTATATGTGTGTGTATGTGTGTGTGTTTGTAAATGTGTGTGTGTCTGTGTGTGTTTGTATATGTGTTTGTGTGTATGTATCTGTGTGTGTGTTTGTATATGTGTGTATGTCTGCGTGTGTGTGTGTGTGTGTGTATGTGTGGGAGATTGTGTGTGTGTGTGAGAGAGAGAGTGTGTGTGGGTGTGGGTGTGTGGGAATGTGTTTGGGTATGGGTGTGGGTGTGTGGGAATGTGTGTGGGTGTGTGGGAGTGTGTGTGTGTGAGAGTGAGTGTGTGTCAGAGTGTGTGTGTGGGCGTGTGTGTGTTTATAAACAGCAGAACAGGAAGGACATTTGCACATCATGCCCTTTAATCTAAATACAGCCCACCGGATCTGAAGTCTCTCTCCATTCATTACGATTGAAAGCAACGGGAGTGGTGAATAGTCGGGGAGCAGACCCACTTCTGGAAATGAACTGGGCCTTAATCCAGCCCAGGGCTGCCTACAGGCCCAGGCCCCGCCCTCAGGACTCCGTGAGGGCCAGAGATAATGGAAAGTGAGGGTCAAACTTTCCTCTGGTTCCAATGCAAACATTTCACGCTCCTGTGAGTGAAGGGAAACAAGATTTGAGTCAGAAGGGGATACTGGGTGATAAGAGAACAGGAATCCGCAAATTAATCTACAGGACTCAAAATGATATTTTTAAAACATTAAGTAATCTTCACAATATGGATATTACTGGCAAGTGTGGAACTGTACCCATCGCAAGTTATGTGAAAGCTTGATGCAGTTGAGTTTTGTGGAGAATAGGGACAGTTGTAAGTTGACTGGGTTACTGTAGGACAGGACTCACCCATGGGTCCTGTTTGGGTAAGGATGGCAGTTTTCTGAAAAGGTGTTAGTCACCCACTTTGCGCTTTCACAATTATCTAACAGCTTCGTTGGTCACTTTCACTGAGCCAGTGTTGTCAATCAAGAATTTCAAAATCGATTCCAACTCCTCAAACCAACCTGTAGGATTTAAACTAATTTTTTTTCAGGATGATTAATCCAGGGCTGACTGCATGTTCTAGGAATCACAAGCTTCTGGCTTCAACTTCCACTTGACAGACTTCATAGATAAAATCTGATCTGACAGACCTAATGCAAGATTGAGGGAGCACCACACTGTCGGAGGGTCAGTACTGAGGGAGTGTTGCACAGTCGGAGGTTCAGTGCTGAGGGAGCGCCGCACTGTCGGAGGGTCGATGCTGAGGGAGCACCGCACTGTCGGAGGGTCGATGCTGAGGGAGCACCACACTGTCGGAGGGTCAGCACTGAGGGAACGCCGCACTGTTGGAGGAAACTTTAAACTCTGTCTGTACTGTCTGGTGTGAAAATCCATGTTTTGGATAAAGGTCAGGCAAGATGCCCCCAATGTCTCGGTCAACAATTCTCCCTCGAACAGCACCAAAAGAAACAAGATATTCTGGGTCATTATCAGGTGTGTTTGTGGGATTGCATTGTGTACAAAATGGTTGCTGTGTTTCCCATGTTACATTTGACAAGGCACTTTATTGGCTGTGACACACTTTGGTACATGCTGAGGTTGTGCAAGGCGCTGTTGAAATAACGAAGATAATATTGAGACTGAGCCCTAATCTCTGGAATTCCCTCCCTAAACCTATCCTGTACTCCATCTGCTATTGGTTACCAAAATATGGGTAATATAGAAATAATGGACAAGTTCAGTTTACATATAGACTGGATTAACCAAGTACAGCTGTGTACAATGAATCATAGAATCCCTACAGTGTGGAAACAGGCCCTTTGGCCCAACAAGTCCACACCGACCCACAGAGCATCCCACCCAGACCCATTCCCCTATTAAACCACCTAATCCACACATCCCTGAACACTATGGGCAATTTAGCATGGCCAATTCACTTACCCTGCACATCTTTGGACTGTGGGAGGAAACTGGAGGAAACCCACACAGACACAGGGAGAACATGCAAACTCCACACAGACAGTCACCCGAGGGTGGAATTGAACCCGGGTCCCTGGCGCAGTGAGGCAGCAGTGCTAACCACTGAGCCACCGGGACTGTGTACAAGATGGATATCTGGCACAGTATGTGGAGGAGCCAACCATGGTCTGGGTTGTTTTGGATCTGGTTTGTGGAACAAGGAAAGACTAATTAATGACAGTGCTGAAAAGGAGGTTTTGGAAATAGTGACCATAATATATTAGAAATTTACATGAAGTTTGGAAGGAAACTATGAGGGGCAAGTTGGCCAGAGTGGATTGGGAAATATACTGAAAGATTTGTTAGCAGTGAGGCATGATTGCTCTTTAAAGAAATACGAGAGGGTCTATAATGGAAACACATTCCTCTAAGCCACAGACACCCAAAGGGAAAAGTGAATCAACAAAACAGTTAAAGATTGCATTAGATCACAGGAAGTTGTTTATGAGAATGCAATCACCTGCACTCAGCAAGCCCTTTCTGACTCAATGTCTAGTTGTTTCATGACTCTCTTGTGACTGTGGGTGTTTCACAGTATTAAGGTTGCTATATGAATGCAGGTTGGCTTGCTTTTGATGTTCAGAGACTCTGTTGCGTGCCGTGTGTTTGAACAGACCTCCGTTTTGTTGTCTTTGCTGCAGGCTATTTCCAGATGTACAGAAGAGTATTCCTGAGGCCAGGCACGAGGACTTGTGCAGCAGCTGGTGACATTGGCATCTGTCGGAGACACAGCTACGGAACGATGGGTATCTCAGAGTGAGCTTGAGGATCCAAGAGCAAGGGTCGGAGTTTAATGGTGAGTGTGCTAGGAGGGGACACGGCATGAAGAGGCAGCTGTGCAAACACTGCTCTCACTTTCCAGAAGCTGCTGGGTGGACAGGAGTGTGATTGGTCAGTGTGCGTTAAGATGTTTTCCCTCTAAATTTAATGTGCAATTTTTAAGCCAGTTCTGACGAGACAGAAGATTTACATTAAATCCACAACTTAACAAATTAAATGTTTTACTGTAAGGACAAAATCCACGCATTCGTGGAAGAAGATTTTGGATCGAACGATCAAGGCGTTAAAATCAAAAACAGAATTGCTGGAATAGCATCTTACAGATGCTGCCAGACCTGCTGAGATTTTCCAGCAATTTCCATAGTTGTTTTAGTTTTTACTCAAGATGTTGAATCTGTTTGGGTGAACTTAAGGAACTACAAGAGGCAGGAGACATTGGTGAGAGTTGTCTATAGGCCACCAAACTGTTCTGGTAATGTTGGACATGTAGAATGGTAAATTGGAGATACATGTAATGTGGATAATATAGGAATAATAGATGACTTCAGTCTGCATATAGACAGGGTTAACCAAGTCAGCACTAAAGCTGTGCAGGATAAATCCCTGGACTGTGTGCTGGCATAGTATGTTGAGGAGCCAACCATGAATTGGGCTGTTTGGATGTGGTTTCTATTACCAGGAAAGACTAGAATTATAGAATCTCTACAGTGTGGAAGCAGGCCATTCAGCCCATCGAGTCCACACCAATCCTCCAAAGAGCATCCAACCCAGACCCGCGCCCCCTACCCTATCCCTGTAACCCTGCATTTCCCATGGCTAATCTCCCTAGCCTGCACATCTCTGGATGCTTCGGGGCAATTTTCCATGGCCAATCCACCCTAACCTGCCTATCTTTGGACTGTGGTAGGAAACCAGAGGGGACCCACGCAGACAGGGGAAGAACATGCAGACTCCGCACAGAAAGTCACCCGAGACTGGAATTGAACCCAGGTCCCTGGAGCTGTAAGTCAGCAGTACTAACCACTGAGCCACCAGTGACTCGAAGTCTGTTTCCAGTGGGATTCCACAGAACTTGATACTGGGTCCCTTGATGTTTGTAGTGTGCATTAATGATTTGAACTTAAACGTAGGGCCTGTGATTTATGAGTTTGTAGATGATACAAGTTGTTCAGGTGGTGAGGAAGATAGCTATAAATTGCAGGAGGATATTATTGGAATAGTCAGGTGTGCATTCAAGCCAGAAAACTGAAGTAAAGTTCTTGAGGAGGTCTAACAAAGCAAAGGATTACACTGTGAATGGCAGCGCCCTGGAAAGTACTGTAGATCAAATGGGATCTTGGTGTACATATCCACAGATCCCTGAAAGTATCAGGCCCAGCTGAATAACCTGGTTAAGATAGTGGTTGTGGTTATGGGATATTTACCTTTATTTGTTGAGGCATTGACTACAAGAGCAAAGAGGTTGTACTGGAAACAACCAGTGCTGGAGATTACAGGAGTCAGACAACGTCCATGGAGAGACAGCAAGCTAATATTTCAAGTCTAGATGACTCTTCATCAGTGTTGAAGTGAAGTGTTGAGCATTTGAAAAGAGCAAAGAACGGTACTGCACAGGAACAGGCCCTTCGGCCCTCCAAGCCTGCGCCAACACATTTTGCCCTTCCATACTAAAATTGCCTTCACTTACAGGATCTACATCCCTTCCTATTCATCTATTCATCCAGGTGCTTGTTGAAAGCTGCTATTGTGTCTGCTTCCACCACCTTCTCTAACAGCTCGTTCCAGGCACTCACCACACTGTGTGTGAAAAACTTGCCTCGCACATCTCTTTTAAACTGCCACCCACCCTCGTACCTTTACCCTGAGTTCCCGAGTAATTGACCCCTCTACCCTGGGAAAAAGTCTCATGCTTTCCACTCTACCCATGCCTTTCACAATCTTATAAACTTCTATCAGTTTGCCCCTCAACCTCCTGCATTCTAGTGAAAACAAACCCAGTCTATCCAACAAAAACAGAAGTTGTGGGAAAAGCTCAACAAGTCTGACAGCGTCTGTGAAGAGAAATCAGAGTTAATGTTTCGGGTCCAGTGACCCCTCTTCACAGCTCTGTCCAGCCTATCCAACCTTTCTTCAAAGCTAAAATTCCCCCATTCCAGGCAACATTCTGGTAATTTATGCTCGAGTTTGGATGGGGTTGGGATGGGGGTGTTGGTAGGATGGGTGTAGAATACTGGTGCAGAAAAATTGATAGTTCAGATTAAGCGATTGCAATGTGAGAATGGCAGATCAATAGTGTGTCTCCTGCCAGACTTGAAAGAACTGACAGTCCCACTGGGATGGGGGAGGGGAGTGAGGACGCGATGACGGAATGTAACAAGCCAAAAGAAAGGGAAGAAATGGTTCACAATTTGAAGATATTGAAGTCCATATTAAGTCCAGAAGGCTGTAAAGTGCTTAGTCTGAAGATGAGATGTTGTCCCTCCAGTTTGCACTGTGATTCACTGGAACGCTGCAGCATGCCGAGGACAGACACATGGGCATGTGAGCAGAATGCTGTGTTAAAATGGCCGGCTTTGGGAAGGTCAGGTCCTGCTGGCGTACAGACCAGAGACATTCTACAAAGCAGTCACCCAGTCTGCGTTTGGTTTCTCTGATGTAGAGTAGGCCACATTGGGTGCAGCAAAGATAATACAAAAGATTGGAGGAGGTGCAAGTGAAATGCTGCTTCACCTGCAAAGCCTGTTTAGGCCCTTGGCTGGTGAGCAAGGAGGAGGTGAAGGGGCAGGTGTTGCACCTTCTGCAATTACATGGGAAAGTGCTGTGGGAAAGGAAGGTAGTGTTGGTGGTTATGGGATGTACTAGGATGTCCCGGAGGGAACGATCCCTGTGAAATGCAAACAGGGGAGTGAGGGAAAGATGTGTTTGGTGGTGGCACTCTGCTGGAGTTTTCTGAAATGGCAGAGAATGATCCTTTGAATGCGGAGGCTGGTTGGATGAAAAGTGAGAACGAGGGGGATCTGATCACGCTGTTGTGAGTGATGGGAAGGGGCAAGGACAGAAGCATGGGTGATTGGTCAGATGTGGTTGAGGGCCCTTGTCACCCACAGTGAGTGGGAAAACATGG